CCCTCGGCGCGGCCGGGGGTGGCGGGGTGTCCCTCGGAGGGACCCTCCGGCTGCAGGAATGTCACCGCCTTCCTCTGCCTCTCCAGCGCGCCGTCCCCCGGGGCTCCGCTGCCGCCGCCGCCGTCCCCGCGGGGCTGCGGGGCCGGCTCGGGACCCTCGGCCACCAGCGGGGCCGGGGGCAGCGGGGGCAGCGGGGGCAGCGGGGGCAGCGGCGGCACGGAGCCCTCCTGGGACGGGGCGTCCCCGGAGAAGTCCTCGGGGGCGTCCGCGGGCGGCCTCGGGGAGTCCCCGCGGGCTCCGGGGACGCGGGGCTGAGCCCCAGCCGCGGGGGGGTCCCGGTGGCCCCGAGCGTCCCGGAGAGTGGCGGGGGACGGGGACGGCACGGGCGGGGTCCCCGCGGGGGTCCCTGAATCCCTCGGGGCCGGCGGGAGGGACGGCGGGCCGGTGGCCGGGGCCTGGAGCTCTGCAAGAGACGGCACCGCCATGGGGCCACCGGGACGCGACGGCGCCGGGAGCCGCGTCCGGTGTCACTCACCGGGGCCGGTGTCACCCACCGGGGCCGGTGTCACCCACCGGGGCCGGTGTCACTCACCGGGGCCGGTGTCCTCCTCCAGCGCGTTGGGGGACGCGTGGGGACCCTCCCGCCGGGGGCTGCCGGCTCGGGGGGGGCTCCACAGCTCCACGGCGTTGGCTGCGCCTCCCTTCACCTCCTGCGCCTGCACGGGGGCCCGGGTGACCATCCCCGGTGCCACCGCCGTGTCCCCAGCCGCGGCCGCGGGGTCCCGGGTGACCATCCCCGGTGCCACCGCGGTGTCCCCGGCTCCTGCCGCGGGGTCCCGGGTGACCATCCCCGGTGTCACCGCGGTGTCCCCGGCTCCTGCCGCGGGGTCCCGGGTGACCATCCCCGGTGTCACCGCCGTGTCCCCGGCTCCTGCCGCGGGGTCCCGGGTGACCATCCCCGGTGTCACCGCGGTGTCCCCGGCTCCTGCCGCGGGGTCCCGGGTGACCATCCCCGGTGCCACCGCCGTGTCCCCGGCTCCTGCCGCGGGGTCCCGGGTGACCATCGCCGCTGTCACCGCCGTGTCCCCCCCAGCTGCGGCCGCGGGGTCGCGGCTGTGCCGCTGGAACTGGAAGTGGCGCCCGTTGAGCCCGGGGTAGCTCCTCCTCGGGACGCCGGAGCTGCCCGCGGGGGCTCCGGGGGTCTCCGGGGCCGCGCTGGGGACCACCCCAAGCCCGGGCGGTGACAGGGACGCGCCGGCGCTGCGCTCCAGGGCCGGGCTGTGGGGAGCTCCGGGGGTCTCCGGGGCCGCGCTGGGGACCACCCCAAGCCCGGGCGGTGACAGGGACGCGCCGGCGCTGCGCTCCAGGGCCGGGCTGTGGGGATGTGACCGGAGGGTGGCCGGGGGTCCCGCAGGGTCCCCTCGGGCCGGGCTGGCGCTGGGAGGGTCCCGCCGGGAGCTCTCCGGATCCTCCACCACGTTGAGAGCCTCCTCCTCGTGGGGCCACGCCGGCGGGGATGTCCCGGCGGGCGGCGGGGATGTCCCGGCGCCCGTGCCCAGCCCTGCAGCCGCCGGTGCCGGTGCCAGGGCGCTGCCCGGGAGGTCACCGCGCCGTGCCACCGGGCTGCCGCTGGCCGGCCGCAGCTGCTCGTCCTCATCCTCGGCCAGCCCCGCGGGCCCCGGCGGTGGCAGGAGGTCGTCGCGGTCGCGGGGGATGTCGCGGGTGTCCCCCGATGCGCCCGGGTCCTCGCCGCGCTCCACCAGCGCGTTGTCGCTGCCCGGCGGGTCGGGCGTGGGTGGCACCGGCAGCACCGGCTGCTCCGTGTCCCCGTGCCCCGCGGCTGTGGGGACACCGCGAGCATCGGCGGCGGCACCGAGCGCACCCGGGGGTCCCGTAGCCCCCCTCGAGTGTCAGCACCGAGCACCGCATCCCCCTCCCCGCGCCAGCCGGAGCCGAGCTCCCTCCCAGCGCCGCATCCCCTCATTTATCTCCTTAATCCCCCAATTAAATATTCATCCGCAGCAATTTTCCCGGCCGCGCCCACCGATCCCGGAGGGAAGGAGGCAGCGGCGGGGCAGGCTCGGCGGGCCCCCCTCACCTTTGTAGCAGTAGGCGTCGAATCGGGAGGCGGCGGGGGGGAAGCCGGTGCGGTTGGGGAACTGGTAGAGGGTCCGCACGCCCGGGGCCTCGCCGCCGCACTTGCTGCGCGGCCGGAGGATGGGGTAGCGCACGCTGCCGTCCGCCAGCCAGCCCGGGTCGCAGCGGTCCAGCCCCGCTCGCCACGCCAGGTGCAGCTGGCCCGTGGTGGCCAGCGCTGCCCCGCGGCTCCGGCAGTGCCGCCGGGCGCCCTGCCAGGTGAAGCGGCCCGGCTCCGAGGCGTGGAACACGGTCCCTGCGGGGAGGGCAGCCCTTGGCGACGCGGCCGCGGCGAGGGACGGCGCTTTCGGGCTGGCCCGAGCGCTGCCAAGGGTGGCACGGAGCGCTGGCACCCGCCCGGAGCGCGGCTGGGGAGGAATGCACCGAGATGTGGCCGTGGAGGGACACGGTGGGCACGGGGCCACGCCACGGCCAGGGGGGGACATCCTTGGGCACCCGGTCATGCCACGGCCAGCCAGGGAGGGACATCGTGGGCATCCAGCCACAACTGTGGCNGCCAGGGAGGGACATCGTGGGCATCCAGCCACAACTGTGGCCATGGAGGGACATCCCTGGGCACCCGGCCATGCCACACTGCGACCACGGAGGGACAAACGTGGGCACGCAGCCACGTCACAATCACGGAGGGACACGGTGGGCACCCAGGCACACCACGGCCAGGGACGGACACCCCTGGGCACCCATCTATGCTCCTGGCCGTGCTGTGGGCACAGAGACACCCTGGGCACCCATCTGTGCTCCTGGCCGTGCCGTGGGCACAGAGACACCCTGGGCACCAGCCGTGCTCCTGGCCGTGCCGTGGGCACAGAGACACCCTGGGCACCCAGCCGTGCTCCTGGCCATGCCGTGGGCACAGAGACACCCTGGGCACCCATCTGTGCTCCTGGCCGTGCCGTGAGCACAGAGACACCCTGGGCACCCATCCGTGCTCCTGGCCGTGCCGCGGGCACAGAGACACCCTGGGCACCAGCCGTGCTCCTGGCCGTGCCGTGGGCACAGAGACACCCTGGGCACCCAGCCGTGCTGCTGGCCGTGCCGTGGGCACGGAGACACCCTGGGCACCCATCTGTGCTCCTGGCCGTGCCGTGGGCACAGACAGACCCTGAGCACCCAGCCGTGCTCCTGGCCGTGCCGTGGGCACGCAGGGACCCCCGGGCACGGATCGCGGGGCGCAGCCCTTGCCTCGCAGCTCCCGGGAGTAGCAGTAGACGTCGTAGAGCTCGGCGGGCTCCCTGCGGCCGTAGCTGCGCACGCCGGGGAGGCGGTCGCGGTCTCCGTAGCAGCCGGGCCGGGACAGCGTGATGGGGTACCTGCCGGGGGGGCACGGTGGGCGCGGGGCTCCGCGGGCAGCGGCGCCCGGGGTGCCCGGGGGTTCCCGGAGATGGCCCGGGAGTGGCCCGGGGGTGGCCCGGGGGTGTCCCGGGGGTGTCCCCGCGGTGTCCCGGGGGTGTCTCGCGGGTGTCCCCGGGGGTGTCCCCGGGGGTGTCCCCGCGGGTGTCCCGGGAATGTCCCGGGGGTGTCTCCGCGGTGTCCCGGGGGTGTCCCCGCGGTGTCCCGGGGGTGTCCCGGGGGTGTCCCCGCGGTGTCCCGGGGGTGTCCCCGCGGTGTCCCGGGGGTGTCCCCGCGGTGTCCCGGAGGTGTCCCCGCGGTGTCCCCGGAGGTGTCCTGGGAATGTCCCGGGGGTGTCCCGGGAATGTCCCGGGGGTGTCCCCGCGGTGTCCCGGGGGTGTCCCGGGGGTGTCCCCGCGGTGTCCCGGAGGTGTCCCGGGAATGTCCCGGGGATGTCCCGGGGGTGTCCCGGCGTGGCCCGCTCCCCGCACTCACCGCACGCTCTGGTCGCTCAGCCAGCCCGCGTCGCAGTTGTCGTAGCCGTCCTCGAAGGCGGCCTGGAGGTGCTGGGGGGAGGCGATGACGGCGGAGTTGTCGCGGCAGGCGCGGCGGGCGGCGGCGAAGCTGAGCGCGTAGCGGCGGCCCGCGGGCCGGTAGTGGAACACCACGCCTGGGGACACGGAGCGCGGCGTGGGGCGCGGGCACGGCGGCCGCGGGGCTTGTGCGGGGGTGAGGGGAGCGCGGCTGGCACGGGATATAGGGCTGGCACGGGATATAGGGCCGGCACGGG